TCTACTTGGCGTTTTCCACTGCGCCAAGGGCAGTTCTTAACTAATTCTAGCTCCATCATGCTTTCCCCGGATCCCATCCTCGTCGCCGTGTGCGGGCCGGGAGCGGTCCGAGGCCCTCGGGGGCCTGTGTGCGGCGGGCTGTGGCCAACAGCCCTGGCACGCGGGTCGGGGAATGCAGGCCGGCGGGCTAGAATTAGGCACAGACGCTTAGCGGTTGATTAAAGATTATTTTACTTACACCGAAGATGGTCGCGGTGCAGGCAGGAAAACTTGCTTGAGTTGCGGTTACAGACAGAAAAGAAGAGAGGTGGACAAGAGTTCCTTCCACGCGAACCTCTAGCCCAATCCGGTTGAAGGCTCTAAACACGCGAGCCCGTCGTGTCAGCCGAAGAAAACAACTCGGAGAAAGAGCTCTGGATACATTCATACGAAGTTTGCTAGGCTCCGTGGAACTTGCGCGCAGGGAAGGGGTTCGTTGAGGGATCGTTCGGCGACGGGGAGAGGCCAGAGGTTGATCAGACCCCTATAGCCTTCTTAAGGTATGCGCTGGGTTCGATAGGCTCCGCAGCGCTTAGAGATCTTCACAAGACGTGAAGCCCTCCTCCTCCTCCAGATGGTTGTGGAGTCCTCCCTTGCAGGGTTCTCCTCGGAGTTCTCCAACTTGGGCGGAAACCGCTCAAGCCTCTTATACGGCTAGCAAGCCAATCGCTAGCTACCACGTGGGAATAATTTAGAACTGGCCAATAGTGGGACACAAATTTGCATGCGGGTGGCGGGAACTCCTTGCACCGTGCATTTCTCTTTGCAACTGAGAAATGCACCCTGCAAAGAAACCTACGAGTGGCGGGAAATAATTTAGCAGTGCCGAAGCGCACACAAACAAAATCACACCCTTGGGTTGTGACAGTTACATTTGCTAGCAGAGAGAAGGGAAAGTTTGTAATCAGGGTGGTTTTTAACGACCTGCTGTAAAAAACAAAACAAACCCCCTCCACCCCCCAAAAAAAGCTTAATAAGTATTCCGTACACTTCACAGAAATACTGTTTTTTCCCTTCCAAATACATGTTAGTTTCCATCTCAAAGCAAAGTTTAAAGTGAGGCTAAAATAGGGGTTTTTTTTAAATTTAGTGCTGCTGCCTCCTCATGATTTATAATATTATAAACTCACAGAGAACAGGAAAACATAAAGACTGGTCCTCAGCTTGTACTCGTCCTTGAAGAGTTTTCTCAACAACAGGAGGGAAGTTGGGGATTTTTATAAGTTATCAGAGCAGATCCTAACTCTTTCATCCTTTGAGTCTCTTCATGAGACTGTCACTCTAATCCTTCATTACTTACCTCGCCCAGTTGTTCACGCTGCAGAGTTCTTGGCGCATGGACCAATACAGCTGTAGTAGATTGCGAAGCACTAAGAGATCTTTTTTGCCTCATTAGCTGTCATATCAATAGGATTTGTTTGTGGGGAGGGGGAATCAGATCTAATTTTTGCTTTTCCTTGAGCTTCCTTTCATATCACATCTCTTATCAGTGTGAGTAACAGTATTGTCTTTTGTTCATAATGGTGGATTTAGTAATTTATTTCATTGCCATGCGATGCAGGTTCTGGGCTGACCAATGTTAAAACAGAAGAGATCTCTGAAGTAAAGATGGATGCAGAGTTCCGACATGATTCAGGATATGAAGTGCATCATCAAAAGTTGGTGAGTGGAACACAAAGCTTTTTTTAAGTTTATACCTTGAATCATGGTGGCTAATATCATTCTTATATAAAGGGCAAATACATTCTCAGCTTCTCTTAATTTTAAAGGTGTAAAAATATAATTTTCTAGCAAAGAGTAAGTTGCAAGTAATTTCAGAGGAATCAGTGGACTTAAGTATAAAAAATGCATGAGAGAAAAATCAAGCCAACAGTCAGTACATGCATAAGACCATTTATGTATATTTGTGAAAAGTATGGTCTTTAGTTCATCTCTTATTGCCAATGATCAAGTATCTAAGGAAAGGGAACAGCTAACAGAATCCTAGGTACAATGTAGTAATAAAATGAGGCAAACAGGGGCAGGAAAGGTAGTTTAGGGGTGAGGAATGAAACTATCTCACAAACTGAATCATTGTCAGCCAAAACAATAAATGCCAAAGCACGTGGTAACTGATCTTCAAGGTTTCCTTCTATGCTCTTACTGTGTGATTCTCTACCTATTTTGTTTTCATTTCTGTTTACTGGTATCTTTGTTTTCCCACTTTTGTACTCTTGCTACTTAAGTACTGCACTTCACTGTGTAGTGGAAGAGAGATCTTCCCTTAGTTTGGCACTGTGGCACTTATGAATACAAAAAGATCCAAGCAAGACTACATGTCTCCAAAGGGTTTTTGATCAGATCCAATAAAAATTGAAGCAGCGGAGGATTCTTACAATAGTGTTGTAATGATAGGTCAATATCTGTCCTTCTGCCTCCTCCTTCCTTGGGAGTAATTGATGACATTGCATATTATTCTAAATTCCTAATATTAAACTTGGAAGGCTTTTAAAAAATATTCTTACAATTAAGCTGAAAATCAAAGTGAACATGGGACTCAAATTTGCATTTGAACAAGGTAATCACTCATTAAATACTCTGCCAGTTCTTTGATGTTGAGAATAGAGAATTCTTAGTCTGACAAGCTAATCTAAAATGAATTAGCATTAATGATAATTTGAGAGAGTCTGATGCACCTACATCAGAAGGGTTAAACATCTGGTGAATAAGCTAAAGTTTTCTCTAGGGAAGAAACCTGGCAGTAGTGTTTTTCAGTGTGCTTATTTTCATGTTGTTATCCTTGTATCGCATGCACTTAATTACCTATCACTCTCACATTCTGCGATTTGCTATATCTGCCCAAGCAGTTAGGAGCTGCAGCTCTCTCTACTGTGTTAGCTGATAAGATAATATCCCATAAAACAAGCAGGAAGTATTGCAAAATAACAGTATCTGCATAAAAATTGCTTTATCTTGTGCAATGCTAGTGATAGCTGAAACCATAATTCAGAAGTTAATTTGGGAATTTTCTTTTTTATATATCACCTCAGTTTATTTTTGTATTGAAGGCAAATTTAGCTACAACTAATAAAGTAACACTAACAATACTAGGCAACAACTTTCTTATCATACCCAAGGCACTGCATGTTGCCATCCAAGTCAGACATGTATTGGCAAGATAGTTTAGGTAACTATTCCAAACCTGAAGGTGTTCTGAGGTATTATTCCCCTCTCCCCCTCCCCCAACTTATATGAGGGTAATTTTGAAATCCATGTTTAAAGATGCCTCCCCTCTTATCATTTGAAAGTAGTAGGTAGAGACATACTTTCAGGTCACTTTCCCTTTCCCTTTTCTGTACCCTGCAGCATTTATCTAAAAATCCCTTTGGAATCATGGTTGAGAGGCTTAGAAAAAAATGTAATGCAAGCCTGGAGTTATCAATTCATCTTGACTTGATTATTTTTCTCTAAAAAGGTATTTCTGCTTTAAATACACAGGAGCCATTGTTTTTCAAGGTTGTTCTTCAAGACTGAATCCGTGGTGCTTTATGCTTTTGCAAGCAAATAGAAATTAACTAAGGCATTTTGCAGGGTTTTTAAAAACAAGCAAACAAAAAAAGTCTTTTATCACCTCTTCATTTATATGCATGCAAAATTGACAGGAGAAATTAACACTTTTCTCCACATCAAATTATACCAACTGTACATTTTGTGCGTGATCGGTTGAATTCTTCTTATTTAAACATCTCTTGCTTAACCAATACAACAACATAAAAGTATCAAAGCATGCAAAATAAATATTTCTATGGAAGGTTGTTTTCTAAAAGAGTGCAAATGTGATACAACTTATTGGAAACTCAGCTCATCTCCAAATCTCCTTCCTTTTAAATATTTTTTTAAAGTGAGAAGTCTCACAGAAAAGCTAAGAACCAGTCCAATTGAGTCCATGAATAAACAAAGGGAGCAAGTAATCTTTCTTCTATTTAATAACCTGTATGCTTACTATAATAGAAGATGAGAATGCCTGTGACGGACAGGCAGGCAGTATATTTTAAATATATACATCATACCAATTAAATGATGCAGTTTAATATATAACATGAAATCTGTGAAACATAACTGTGAAATCAGTTGGTCTTCTATTTCTATACCTTTTGCTGTTTTCAAGATTCCACTATTTGAAACTCATAGCAAAGCATTATTGTGTCCAAAAATTTCCCAAGTTATGTCATGCTTACCATATGTCATCATTTTCCCGCCTCATTCTGTGAAGACTTGATGGCTTCCTTTTGCTACGCATCTTAAAATAGGATGCCTATTTCCAGACTGTCTCTCTGCTGTTAGACGAGTCACCTTTCTACAATGATTTTTTTCCCAGCTGGGTGCTCTGTCATTATCTGGTGGGTATAAAATGTGCTTACCTAAAACAATCCTGAACTCTCAAATTAATGAAAAAATGTCTCATTCTAATATGCAGAAGATGGAGAAATCTTCATGTTCCTTAGGTACCTTCCCATGAGCCCTGTCAGTCATCTTGAGATTTGCTTAGCTGATACTGAAACTAGCGTGGGCAGTTAATAGAAGTTATACTTGAAGTGGCTCTGACTGAAAGGTTCTGAGTAGCTCCTGGACATCTACACAGCTAGCAGTAATGCAAAATTTATATACTGGTTATACTCTTCTTTTGGTTGGGAGAGCTTGGTGCTGCACTGACTTGGTTTCTGCACTGCTGCAGGTCATGAAAACAACACAACACCTTTCTGCACTGCTGCAGGTCATGAAAACAACAGGACACAAAGGTCATGCAATAAAGTTTCAGGGAATCGTTTTCTAAAATGTCTTCAAGACTACAACTTAGCAAAACAGTAAGTGTGGAGAGTATGATTAGTTATCGAGTTTTTTGTTTGTTTTTTTCCTAGGTGTTCTTTGCTGAAGATGTGGGTTCAAACAAAGGCGCCATCATTGGACTAATGGTGGGAGGTGTTGTCATAGCAACAGTGATTGTCATTACTTTGGTGATGCTGAAGAAGAAACAGTACACATCCATCCATCACGGTGTAGTGGAGGTAGGTAAAGGTTATCTAGCACAGCTGCATTCCCATAAATGGGAGTGGTTGGAGACTATCTTGTACAACTCTATAAGACAGTGTGTTTAAAACAGGAGCAAAACAGACAATTTGGTTAACCAATGTTTGATTGCAGTGTGGTTTCCATAATAAAATCATCTGTTTTATCAGAGAGACTAAATGAATGATCACAGAATCATAGAAAATTTAGGTTGGAAAAGACCTCAGAAGGTCATCTACCCCAACCCCCTGCTTAATGCATCCTCAGCTATTATCATCCCAGCCAAGGCTTTGTCTAGCTGAGTTTTAAAATCTCCAAGTGTGGTGATTCTATACCCTCTCTGGTTAACCTGTTCCAGTGCTTTACTGTGCTCCTAGTGAGAGAGTTTTTCCTAAGCTCTAACCTAAACTTCCCTTGCTGTAACTTGAGACCGTTGTTCCTCGTTCTGTCATCTGCCACCGCTGAGAACAGTCTCAAGTATTTGAAGGATGATATTAAATCCCCTCTGTCTTCTCTTCTCTGGACTAAATAAGCCCAGTTCCCTCAGCCTCTCCTCAGAAGTCATGTGCCCCAGGCCCCTCACCTAACCATTTTCATTGCCCTCTTCTGGACTTTCTCCAATGTGTCTACATCCTTTCTGTAGTAGGGGTCCAAGACTGGACACAGTACTCCAGATGTGGTCTCACCAACATCTGAATAGAGAGAAATAATCATTTCCCTCGATCTGCTGGGAATACTCCTAATAATACAGTGTGCCATTAACCTAAAATTATCTCAACGTGTAAATTTAAGCACAGTAATCCAAACTATAAGCCATTTCAAATTACATCTAAAACTGCAAAGATTGTTGAGGGGTTATGGGACCTTGAGGGAGAGGAGTTCATTTACCTGTAGAATTTAACAGTAGTTGCAAAGAGACTCCTTCATTGGTTCATAAAAGTTTAGTGAAAATATTAGATAAGATGAGGTTTTAGGCAGGTCTTCTGCGGATTCAGCTGCATACTACAAGGATTTGCCATGTATAGATACTATATTACTTTTTGTACTCCTAACAAGATAAATTCTTCACAGCCAACAGCCTTTGATTTATGGCTAATCTGAAATTCATAGAGTTGAAAAAGCACGTATAAAACTCCTAAGATCTTTTCTGAGAATGAAAACAATTGCTTCTCCCCAAACTGTCAAATAAATCCATGACATTTTAACAATAGTTAAAAGTAGCATTACTGGTAACATCCTGAGATTTAACAGGGTCTCAGTGTAGAGAAAGACTGCATTATGAGGGAGTTCTGTTGTTGTTGTTTTTTTCCAACTTGGCTTTCTTCCCTTAGTTTACTGATATCCAAAACCCCCAAAGATACTTGGCTGACTGGAAGGAAACACCTGACTATCTTTGGAGGTGCTCAGGGCTGTACAGGCTGGATTAGGGACACAAGGACTATTCGAGCCCTTTGGAGAGGACAGAGAACATCTGGCTGACTAGCCTTTCCCCAGTAAATTCCTTTACTGAAGAGACTGTCTGCTATCCTACTTAGAACTGTGGATTTTGCTGGGTTGCCCCAAGGAGAGGTGAAGCCCCTCATTCGGGACCTGAACTGGAGCTCACTTGTTGAGTCAGGGCCACAGAAAACCTGGGAGAGTGGGGGTCTCAGGTGGGAAGGAGACTCTCCCCTTGCTCCAGAAGCCAAGGGGTACTCTCATTGACCAAACACGGAATCAGTGGTCCCAAGCAATCACCTCTCTGTGATACACAGATACTTAATCGTGCACAACTTAAACAATACCATATTTACTTTAATATGAGAGAGTGTTTTTTTTTCCCCCAACCAGCCTAGGGAAGAAAGCTCTTCATCTTACATTCACATAAAAGGAAATCTCATTAAACACCTTGTCTATCATTAAACTGCTAGCAAAAGCAGCATGTGCTCAGTAATAGAAACAAACTATGAAGCTGATTTTAGTGCGGCTAATACTGACCATGACTATAAAACACATGATCAGTGTTGGGCAAACATACTGATGGGATCCTACCACAAATTAGTGTAGCCCATCTGAATAAGATACGTAGTAGTGCCTATTGCCCTGAGTTCCCTTTCAGAATTGACCTTTTTTCAGGGCATAGTGAGCCACTACACTAAGTACATTTTGACTTCCTCTTCACTCCCACAGCTGAGCTGGGGTTTTCTTTCCCATTTCCAATTATTCCTGTTTCTATAGCAGCCTTAACTGTCTGGCAGACATTACAAAATGAAATCCCAAACAGTTCACCTAGAACCTTTCGGTCTCGTCCTCTCTCAGCCTGTCACATATGATTATAGATTTCATAGATATTAGGGACTAGAAAGGGCCTCGCAATATCGAGTCCAGCCTCCCTGCCACAGGTAGGAAGTCTGCTGGGGTCAAATGATCCCAGCAAGATAAGCATTCAAACGTTCTTTGAATGAGTCCAGAGTAGATGCTTGCACCACCTCTGGGGAGAGTTTGTTCCAGGCCCTGGACACTCGGACTGTATAAAGAAGTTTTTCCTTATGTCCAGCCTAAATGAGCTTTCCAGAAGTTTGTGGCCATTAGACCTTGTTATCCCTTGGGGAGCCCTGGTGAATACCTGCTCTCCCAGATCCTGATGCATACCCCTTATATACTTACAGGTTGCCACCAAGTCCCCCCTGAGCCTTCTCTTCTCCAGGCTGAAGAGTCCCATGTCCCTCAGCCTCTCCTCATAATGCTTGCTCTCTTGGCCTTTGATCATGCGGATGGCTCTCCTTTGGACTCTCTCTAGCTTATCCATGTCTCTCCTGAAGTGGGGGGCCCAAAACTGGATGCAGTACTCCAGCTACGGCCTCACTAAGACCGAGTAAAGTGGGAGGATGATGTCCCTCATTTTGCTTGAGATTCATCGGTGGATGCACACCAGAATTTGCTTTGCTTTGCCAGCTACGGCATCGCATTGGTGGCTCATGTTCATCTTGTAGTCAATCAAGACCCCCAAGTCTCTTTCAGTTGCACTGCCAAGCCTAGAAATATGATGCTGGTTTTTTCCTCCCAAAGTTGAGGACCCTGCACTTCTCTACATTGAATGCTATCAGGTTTTGGTCTGCTCACCTTGCCAGCCTGTCCAGGTCAGCCTGTATCCCCAGCCTGTCCTGCAGTGTGACTGCCTTCCCCAATAGCTTAGTGTTATCCGTGAACTTCACCAGTCTGCATCTGAGTCCCAAATCCAGATCCTTAGTGAAGATGTTGAAGAATACTGGCCTGAGTACTGAGCCCTGAGGGATACCACTGGTTGCCTTACACCATGTTGATTTGCTCCCATCAACTATTACTCTTTGGATCCGACCAAAGCCAGTTCCCCAGCCATCGGACTGTGAGATGGTCGAGGCTGAAGTTCCCCAGCTTAACCATGAGGACATCATGGGAAACTAAGTCAAAGACTTTCTTGAAATCCAGATATGACATCAACCTTGTCTCCCTTGTCCAGGCAATGTGTCACCTGGTCATAGAAGGAAGCAAGGTTGGTCAGGCAAGACGTTCCAGCAGCAAAGCTATGTTGGCTGGCATTCAGAAAGTTGTCTTGCATTAGCCTGTTGCTGATAGAACCTTTGGTGATTTCCTCATCAAATCTTTCCAGGGATGGATGTCAGACTGATTGACCTGTAATTCCCTGAATCTTTTTTCCTTCCTTTCTTGAAGATTGGGGCCATGTTGGCTCTTTTCCAGTCTTCCAGTGCTTCTCATAATCACCACGAGTTCACAAAGATCGTTGTCATAGGGCTTGCTATGATGTCCACCAGCTCCTTCAGGACTCTCAGGTGCATTCCATCTGGGCCTGCCGATATATGGATGTTAAGCCTCTTGAGGTGTTCCCTCACTTGATCTGCATCAATTGTGGGTCCACCTTTGCATCCTGTCCGACAGGGTGATCCCCTTGAGCACGAGGAAGACCAACACAAAGTAATCATTTAGGAGATTGGCCTTTTCCTGAGTATTAGATGTTAACTGCCCCATTTATTTAGCAGGGGTCCAATGTTGCCTTTGTTCTTCCTCTGACTTCCCACATATCTGAAGAAAGGCTTTTTGTTGTCCTTGATTCCTGTGGCTATCCTGAGTTTGGTTTCTGCCTTGGCTCTTCTGCTCCACTCTCTACTGGTGCAGGCTAGTGCTGTGTAGTCCTCCATGGTGATGATTCCTGTTTTCCACCTGGTGTAGGTTTCTCTTTAGTTTCAGGAGGTCCAAAAGTTCCCTGTTGAGACGAGGGGATTTTCCAGACTGCTGACTGCCTTTTCTATGGAACAGAATGGACTTTCCTTGTGCTTCGAGGATTGTGTCCTTAAGGAACAACCATTCCTCATGGACTCCCCTTTCTGAGGGGCCATGGTCTCTTAGTGCCTGACTGACCAGCTCCTGAATTTGTGAAAGTCAGCCTTCCCAAAGTTGAGGATTTCTGTTTTAGTGAGAGATTTGCCCACCCTGCATTGGACAGAAAAAGTGATCAGTTCATGGTCACAGGGTCTGACAGTAAGGGGAGGAGCAGGGGAAAGGGGAAGAAGTGGAGGGGCAGAGGGCAAGGGGGCTACCTGTTTCCCGCTCCCCTCTCCTGGCCCAATTTTATTTTCCCTACTGTAGCAGTGGAGGAGGGACAGATTAAAAACAAATCTCCCATAATTAGATTCTGTACCTGGAAAATAGTAGCAAATGTATAAATTTTCCATACATAGAATCTAATTACGGGGGGTTCTCCTATATTCAAGTAAATACTGTACATAAGGTCTAGTGGATTGTTGGGGATCAGAGCCAGGATTCTTGACTCTGCAAGACTTGCCACAAGGTTTTGGATTTACCATACAATTTAATCTCTCTGCCTTAATTTTTCACATGGAAAACAGGAATACAGTGTAGGGTCATTGAGGATTAGTTAGCAAACGTTTTTACAATACTTTCAATAAAATAGTGACATACACAATGTTTATTGTTAAAATGACTTCAAAGTTGGGTCATCCTA